GGTGGTTGGCTGCGTTGAGCATTAGAACTTTGTGGTACAGGAAGACCATGGTGCCGCTGGAGCACGAACTTACAAATGCTAGTTGTACGGCTCCGCAATAGCATGTAGCTGTCGCCTCGCCTTCTTTGGAGTAGCCATCCTGCTTTAGACTGTTATGGGGTATATACGGTTTGTCCTTATCCGCGTCTCGTGTAGACATGGTCGTGATACCCTTGCTTGACTATGATGTAACCGTTGCAGAAGAGGAGTGAATGTGGACGATGCAAGAAGAAGCTTTTTGAGGGCTCAAAAGCGATGCTATGTAGTCATGCTTATCTGTGTAACCCAACCTCAAACTCCGATGAATTGCCGGAGGGAGTGCATGTCCGACCCTCCTCTCACTCACTCCGCTCACTCCGTGGTTTCATACAGGCCCCGGACAAAGAAACACGGGCGGTTCATATGCGCTCGTCGGACGCCAGAATAATCCTCATGGTAGCTTTACTGAGCTGTAAAGTGTGGCATTCTCGGACAAAGACTTAGGTATCTGAAGAGAGACGCATCGTAGTAACCGATAGGCCCTTACAACTTACTCGCCTTACCCTGCCCCAGCGTAACAACCAACTTACCAAACTGACTCGCACTCTTCATATCCTCAAACAGGGTATCAATCTTCTCCACATCCAAACCTTGCACACTGCGACTGACCACAGGCTTCATCTTCTTCTCCTTGACAAAGCGCACCATATCAGCAAACTCCTTCCTCGAACCCATGGTGGAGCCACGGACTTCGATGTTGCGCAGCACGGCGGACATGAGGAAGTCCATTTTGGGTGATACGGTCATGCCGTATATGGAGATGACGCCGCCAGCCTATATCGATAAATCAGCCTGTTGTCGCAAGAAATGGAGAGAGGGAGGGAAGAACGAACCTTGAGTATCTTACTCCCCACTTTAACAACATCACCGCCGGCGCCATCAACAATAGTATCGAGATACTTCCTCTCCTTGGGCAACATGGCCTGAAGTTTCTTATCCCAATCCTTCTCCTTATAGATAACGCCTCCCTTCGCACCCAACTTGACCGCCTTGTCAATCTTCTCCTGGTTCCCGCTTGTCACGTAGACATTGCAACCTTGTGCCACAGCGAACAACAGCACCATAAGCGCAACACCGCCCCCAATACCCGTAACGAGGATATTCCGTCCTGGCATCGCATTCCCGCTCTTGACCCAGAACGCGCGCCACGCCGTCAGCCCGGTAAGGGGCAGCGCAGCAGCCTCCTCGTCGTTGAGATGGTCGGGACATTCCTCCAGCTCACCGGCATCGAGCGCGCAGATATCTTGTAGTGTGCCCACGGGATTGCTCTTCGTGCCGCCCATTATCGCATACCCCTTGGGATGTTCGGGGCCGTCCATGCTGTCCTTCCAGCCCGTACCCGGGTTCAGCAAGACGCGCTTGTTGAGCCATGATTGTGCCGAGGGGGATGCGCCGGCGGAAGTGACGATGCCGACGCCGTCTGCGAGGAGGGGCACGCCGAAGGTTGTGCCGGGATAGAGGTGTTGGCGGATGAAGAGGTCGCGGTGGTTGAGCGCGGCGGCGGTGAGGGTTATGAGGGCCTGGGTGATGGGGATTAGATTGTGAGCGGGTGGCAGGTCTTGGTAGAGGGAGCTTACTTCATTTTCTTTGGGCTTGGGTTCGGGAACGGTTATCTTCTCGAGTGGGTAGTAGACTTTGCCCGGCTTGCCTTCGACTTGTCTAATGACGATGGCGGAAGGCATGGTTTTTGATGGCGATTGAGACGTGATGTGGTGACGCGTAGCAGTTGAATGTCGGGTGAACAGGCTAGGGAGGATGCGTGATTAGATATGTGCAGCTTCGATGCGCGGAGCGATGACCCGAATAGCTCATCATGGTTGTGGTGCTCGGATGCATGACGAAAGAGCTCCTGGACCGAGGTCGCGTTCGGGGCGGTGGGTATGCTTATCGATCGATGCGGGGAATCCGGATGACAGGGATTACTCGGTCTTTGCCATGCAACACACATTGGGATTCATCAGGAGCATCTTATACTGCAGTTGGTATTTCTTCATACAAGAGTCATGGTTGACATTCGTTTCGCAGAATACATGAGCGATGCAGGTTCCTTTAGGGCCTCCACCTGAACGACGGATGCCGCCAATCCAAATCCTCAATCTCTCCCTGCGACTTGCCAGCCAGCTCCTGGTCAACATCAATGGCATCACGCTGCTTGTTGCTCCTGTTGATCCAGAGCAACAATAGAATACTCGATATCAAGATCGTACTGCTGGTCGCCAGGTTGAGCCCATTACCGATGGGATAATTGGGCGCATCTGTAGGGAGGAAACTCCATGTCGAAATCAGGCCGCCTACGTTGCCAAACATGACAACAGTACCTAACATTCAGTCAGACTTTGCTTTGTTATGACGTACAAATTTTGGTACTTACCGATAGCAGATGCACGCGCCGTGTCGGACACAACATTAGCAGAGCCCTGCGCGTTGCACAGCGCGCCAAACGAGAATGCTCCCGACGCGATGAGGAAGGTAGCACCATATCGAACTTGCCCATCTGTACTGGCTAAGAACATGATGTATCCGATCATCATGAGTGGTGCTCCCAGGATGAAGAAAATCATGCGCCTATCGAATCTCCAGCTCAGGAATGGTAGCAGAAGTGTAAAGAAGGCGCCCACGATGTATGGTGGCACTGTGTGAAGTTGCTGCGAAACAACTGTATCGTTTGGGTATATCGTCTTGACAATTGTGGGCGCGAAGAAAGCCAGACCTTGCACCGTGATGTTGTCGAGAAGGAAGATGAATGAAGTCGCCAGTACCACAGGATTGAAGATACCGCGAAGCGTCTTCTTCTTGTCTAGCTTATCTAGGACCTCGTTCTGGCCGACACGTTCAGACTGTGTCAAAAGTCAGCAGGTGTACAATAAATACCGGAATGTCTAGCCGAAGCCACGCTTTAATGTGCTATGTATCTTCCAGGGTAGATGGTGACATACCTTGACACGAGCAATCGCCAAATCCTTCTCTCCTTGCGTCAACCAGCGCGCAGTCTCCGGACGATCTGTGAGCGTCATGAAGGAGATAAGGGCCAAGCAGCATGTGACAATGCCCTCTATAGCGAAGATCATCCTCCAGCGTGTGAGCGAGCCGAAAGAATCGAGTGTGAGAATCGCTGAAGCCAACAAGCCTCCGAAAGCGCCAGCTAGGGGAGACATGACAATGTACAGTGACAGTCTGAACGCAAGCTCGGAGCGTCTGTACCACCGAGACATGTAGTATGCGATGCCTGGTAGCATACCAGCTTCAAAGATACCCAGCAGAAAGCGTACGCCACAAATGGCATGAATGTTGTGAACAAAAGCCGTGCCAATCGAAACGATGCCGAAGCATAGTGAGATGATAGGGATGAACCATCCCGGACCAAGCCATTTACAGCAGATATTGGACGGGATCTCGAAGACGATGTAGCTGACGTAGAACACGGAGAGAACAGTATTGTAGTCGTAACCACTGAGTCCAAGGTCCTTTTCGAGGCCCGCTAGACGAGCGTTTCCGATGTTGGCACGGTCGATGAAGCAGAACAGATAGAGAAGGGCCACGGTCGGGATAATGTACAAATCGATCTTCAGGCGGAGACGTGACTCTGCCTTTTTATCAAATTGCATTAAAGCATGGCCGTAGCTGTCGATATTGTCAGCAAAGAAGATAGAAGAGAGTGGCTAGACTCGCATGTCGGTAGCAGTATGGCCGTGTCCCGCAATCTGGTGCGCGTCCTCTGGCTTGAAGTCTTCATGTTGGCTGCTCGGCGTGTCTTTTTCAGCCGCGTAATCCGTCTGGGCTTGGGCCATGGTGAAGCGGCGTCCTGAGCGCGTTCAGGTACAGAGAGAAAGAAGGAAGGAACGGCCTTTTTCATAACAGCGACAAGTCGTAACGTCGCAGCCGCACCTCTGCTTTATTTGTACTCCACACCCCCCGGAAGGTCCTCCTTCACGCCGGATCGCAGCTGGGTCTGGCCGGTGTCCTTGTCAGCGCCGTTTTGATGGAGCGCGCGCGCGCCAAGGTAGATGGCTGTCATTACTAGCTCTCGAAGTGGTGAAGCGCCTGGGGCACGGTCGCCAGCGGAGCCTTTCGGCGTGGAGACGGCTCTTCCCCGGACTCCACGATGATCGCCGACCCATCTATCTGAAGGCAAACAGCCGTCGCAGTCCTTTCATGTGCCGTCGGGTGTCAGCGTCGGTATATGGCCGTTTTTCGGTTGTAGATAGGGCGTAGGGTTCACTTGGTTGCATCGTCATGGTGAGATCTCTTCCCGGGTACCCCGCTACGCCACGACTCTTGCCACGACTCTTGGGACTGGGACCGATCAAACATTACCATGTGTCAAGCAGCTGATAGGCTGACGGGCCATTGCATATCCGAAATCGACGGGAGAGTGAGTAAGGGGACGTGTGGGTTTTGCGCAAACGTAAAACGAGCCAACGAATTGCACTGCACGGCCCTTACTAAGCTTTGGAACGCTTGTGGAAGAGCGTCCTCCATTTCATTGGTACGTTCAACTTCTCTCAGAACAAGCCTCATAGGAACAGATGCTATGCACTTTGAAGAATGCGATGACCAAAGTTTTCGACCTTCTCACCGGTCTGCAAGTGCTTGTAGAGTCTTGGGGTGATGTGAAGCTTATCGCCTAATCTCGATTTTCGGAGAGATAGCGTACCAGGGTACCATGTGGTGGAAATGATTGCTCGTAATTGGACGCAAATACGTTATACGCTGCCGATCCTGATAGATATCATACATATAGCGGCCCTGATAGTAAGCGGTGTATACTCGAGGTTTTAACTTTCAGTCGACACGCTTCTGTATCAAAGTCACCGCCGCTGCCAGCGCACCGATAATGTTACATCGTTACCCTGACTGAACATGCAACGCACTACGGGCATTGCTCAAACTCTCTGTTCATCTTCAATCTGACTGTTCTGCCCCTATTGAACTTCTGATTCTTCTTCCATCCAGGGTAGAGCATATCGCACCTTCCAACGACGCAACAGTAGCTCACGGAAGCCTTCCATGTCAGCAAGGGCTGCTGCAGGAATACAATGGTACATCGCAGCTTGCGGATGCCCGAAGTAGGCGGTCTCCCTGTCTCGCGCTTCGATTTGATCTTTCTCCTTCTACAAGTCAGCCTTGATCGTTCTCACTGTCGATTATGTACGTACACTGCGCCACTCCTCTGCGTCTAGGACAAAGCGAGATGTAATGTCCCACGTGTCAGGGTCCACAGACATTTCGTCATAGTCGAGGTTGCTCAATACGACCGTGACACGGACGCCGGAGTCCATCAGATCGCACACAGTTTGCCGAATGCTCTCCATGATATTGACGAAGTGACGCTCGGATTGTTCAACATCAGGGCCGTCCTTGGCGAACGTGGTGTGTATCTCGATCTCGATATGAAGCTCTTCTCGGCCTTTCAGTCGGGTGAGAGGATAAAGCTGAGCCTCTTGTTTAGACACAGCAGCCTGCGCGAACGTGGAGTCGTCACCGAGGCCGTATGCTGGTTTGTAGTAGTCACTCATCTTGTCTTGCCCGTAGCGCGTATCAGATTCCCAATGTTCGCATGCCAGTTCTATCTTCAGATGACGGATTTTCTGCCACGGGCGCACAAACACCCTCCAAAACGGCTTGTCACTAGGCACTGTTCCGTGCAACAGAAAAGTGCCCAAACTGTCATCTCGCATGCCAGTACATAAACCGACTGTGATCACGAAACGATTCTTCGACCAATATGTCTCGGACAGCTCGGTAGGTACGACCTCCGAATTTGACAGGTAGGACACATCCATTAGTTGGCCACCCGATCCAACAACCGATGGGTCTGTCCTAGAACCAGGCTGTCCAGGAAGAGCAACCTGTATGGTGTCTGGATGGACGCAGACATACTCATAGACAAGGTCACGTAACTCTCGAGGCAGCCGAGTGAGGAAAGGCTCCATGAGAGCCGGCGCTTCTTTCAGGATGATGTGTGTCGACGTAGCATCCATTCCCCTAGTGATGTCACTATAGATCCCGGTTGGTAGTTTCGCGCAAGGTTCCTGGGATTAGGAACAACCTCATCATACCTTTCCAAGTTCCCTACTGCTCTCTTGATGGTGTCTTGCTTTTTCTTCAGCTCTTTCATCTCTTGACTGAGCCTCTGCAGATCATCTGAATGAGTTTTCTACACAAGAAGCATATGGGTTTAGCGACTACACAATCCAACGTCTGCATGTTTGCGTGCTTACCAGCTTTGCATGGGTCTGGCGCAGGGTAGACCACATTGCATCGGTGTCAGACGCGTCGGTAGAGCGGCCATTCTGACCGCTGGGGCACATCACGGCTTCCGGAGGTCTTTGCGATGGTTTGTTGAGTGTTTGAGCGTGTTGGGGAGTAGATGCGGTTGCCTAAGGGTTACGTGAGGCATTTGGAGCTAAGCCACGCTAGCGCGCATGTTTCATCTCGACATGGGAGGAACGTCCTAGACAAAGCATCGTGCGGGTCGCAAATCCCGTCTCGTTTTCATTCTCTTCTTGAACCTTAACTATTCATCCTAGAAAGATTCGGGTACTTTGAGATTGGCTTTCTGATGACGGTGGATTGCCAGGCTGTTAAATGTGATCACGCCTGGAGAAGAATGCTGTGTCGAACATTAGCCCAAGCGCATGCAAGCGAAGAGTGAGGAAACGACGATCTTCATTTGAGACTTCAAACATGGATGGCTGCTATTCTTAGGTCAAAAGCGCCTCAATGCCTACTCAGTAACGACCGAGATACCATGGTTCTCCACCGCCATCTCCTCAAGCACCTCATCAACCCTCTTCTCAGCAGCCAGGACCTCCTTCTTCTCCCCGCCCTCCGCAAGCTCCATCATGGGCTTCGTAAGAGCATGGAACCCCGCTTCTCCATATTCCATTTCCACAAATTTGCCCAGCGCGCTGTACACTAGCTCTCCATGACGCTCCTTATCTGCCATCAACACACCCACAGAACGAGCAACAACATCGGCCGACTGCACGTTGCTATCGCCTAGCGCAGCGATCATGGCACGGGGCACAATTGCTGTGTCGGTCCAGGATGGGGCGACGGCGTTGATGCGGATGGGGAGTCTGGGGTGAAGTTGGGGCTGTAGAGCGCGTAGAAGACCGAGAACGCCGTGTTTGGCTGTGGCTTTGGGATGTGTCAGCACTCAATCTTGAAATGGGTTGACGAGGCTTACTGTAGTCTTCAGCCGGAAGTCGCGCGAAGCTTGAACCCGATGCTGTCATGACGATGCTGCCGCCATCGGGGTTCTTCTTGAGGTAGTGTATGGCCAGCTTCACGGTGTACATTACACCGACTAAGTTGACGTTGATTGTGTTCATCTTCGGCGGTAACAAATCGCCATTCTCGTCCACGTCTTCTTCCAGGAAGCTTGTTGATTTTCCTATTCCTGCGTTTGCAAAGGCATGGTCGATCTTCCCGTACTTCTGTTCTGCTGCTTTGAAGACGTCGAGTTGCTCTTTCCAGGACGTGACGTCGGCTTTCAAGAAGGGGACGGATGATGCTTCGGGCTCAGGAAGGGAAGTGAGGTCGCTAGCAAAGACCTTGCCCCCGTGCTTGATGATCCTTCGGAGTGTCGCAAGTCCTATACCCGATGATGCTCCTGGTGCGCGTAAGTAGTCGGTAAAAGATAGCCGGTCATGTTATCCTACCAGTGATGACAGCTACCTGATCCTTCAATCCATCAAGTTGGCCATCGGAGATAGTGAAGCTCGTCATTGTGTTGAGTGGGACAGTGTATTTGTGATGAAATGTAAAAGCACCGAGATTGGAAAGGGCGACTTGAATACAGGTAAACAAACAATGCCTTGGCAGATGCATAAATTGGTGAATAGGAAAGAACAGAACAACTTCTTGAGGGACTTGAGAGGAGGCATATCAGGCAGGGGCAGATGTACTATAATTAGCGCAGATGGAGAGTCGCCAAAGCAGACGCCTACGCCGCATTGTAGCTCGGGACCACGGCAGACCCCGCATCAACGTACGACTACGCTAATCACCGGTGTTCGGTACCTAGGTAACTTGTGTCACTGGGAGGCACAGAGATAATACCAACAGTTATGTGCCCATTGTGACAAGGGTTCCTTTTGGCTAATTTGCTGGCGCCTATTCCTGTCAGGCAGCTAACTTTGGAACTGTGCCCCAAACAGCGGACGTTCTGTTGTGCTCACCTCGCAGAGGAGCCTCAAATGCTCAGTATGATCGTACGACCGGACCGGGAGGGTTGCGCGCTGCTCTTGCGAAGGTCGACACTTGGGTAGGTCATGCTCCAATGCAGCCTTCAAAGAAGCCTGTCCAACTTGACAGTCCGCAGTAGTGCTCTTTCGCTCCTCTGTATTCTTGCTTCATAGTCAACGACCGCACATGAACCCGCCATGGTTTTTACAAGCGACGCGCGCGCTGACTGCCGTTGCATTTGGGTATATGTCCGCCTCTCAAGCACCACCACCGCCTCCTCCTCTTCCGCGACCGCGTCCTCGGCCCCTCATGCCTCTGCCTCCACCACGATCGCCCCGGTGGTCTCCTCGTCCATGCATGCCTCCTCCTCGGCCGCCCCGGTTCGCTTGGTCCTTGGCTTGCTGTTCCTTTACAACGTCGACGATCTCGTCCGGCACTCGAAGGTACTTTATCTGGAAACTGGTCAGTAGGGTGTATTGAAAGGAACAACCTGATCGCTTACTGTGCTTCCGCGAACGTAAATCTCTGGTAATCTCATGAACTTGTCACCGTCGGCGCTCGTTTGCACAACCTCTTTCAGGGTAAGGTTCATCCATGTGTCGCAGTTGACGAGCAGTCCGTTTAGGGTTTCGCCGCTCTTCAGTTCGACGAGCATGGGGTGGCCGGTCGCGGCCGTTAGAAGGCCCAATGGCAGCTGTGTCGAGAGTCAGTAAAAAGGCGTGAGCTGCTGGTGAGTGAGGTGACGTACCATATTGGCGACCGGGGTGGCTCGCGGATAGGCTGGGTTCTACGTATCAAGTATTGTGGATTCGACGAGAATGTCGCGACGCAGTTGGAGAGGTTCCTACGACTGGGTGAGATCGAGGGCGGGATACGTAGTCGGGTTAGTGATGATCTCCCTCATTGCATCGCAGGCCGCGAGAGCTCGGACCACAGTGCCTTGGCGAGCCAGCCCTACGAGATGCGACCGAACACCATCCCTCTACTCCGTATATCCACTCCTCTAGCACACGACCAATGTAGTCGACTTACTTCCGAGGCCACCAATAACAGATGGCCGGTCCGAATGGGTTTGCACCCTCTACTCACCGAGACCACTAACCTGCACGTGCACGTGTGGCAGCTGTGCGTAGACTATGCATGTTCTTCAACTGCTGTGATTATCATGATACCAGATACATGTAATACACTCATAGAGCGAATTCGCAAGGCAAGAAATTGGCATGGGCGCAAGTCAGCGGGTGCGCAGTCGCATGGACGAGAACCGCACCAATGATGCTGCCACATGGCCTCTCAGATCATGGATTTCATCGCAACCTTTATATACATTTACCAAAGTACACACATTCGCATCCTCCCGTATCCCAGTGTTTCATCACACTGCATTATGCATAGTGCTGCCAGCTGAATCGTGAGCCGACGTCTAAGCCACGCTCACGCTGACGGCAGCCACTAGCAGCTCTGCGCCTTTATACATACACCGAAACGCCCTTCGACTGGTGCCTGATCGAACCTCTGGGAACATCTGTCCCATAACCCGCCAAACCTCGCTCTCTTTGCGGGTCGGTGTTCGTGTGCGCTGTTTGCACACTCGCTCTGCTGTTCAACTCGTGTTCTTTTTTGCTTTCAACATGCGTTCCTTCAAGTCCAAAGTGCTGTCAGCCTGCGCCTGGGCGGCACCTGTACTCGCCGGCGTCATACCTCAACACGAGCGTCACGCTGCTCGCGCCGACGGAAATCTTTTGCAGCTAGGTACGCGCCCCTCTTATGCTATTCCACATTCGCCATCCGTAGGCAGCTGCTGAACTTTTGCTAGACCTTCAACAGAACTACGCGCAAGCTACCTTCAGTGTCCCCTGCACTGGCTGTCTTGGCCGCGATCACACGGACCAGGATGACGAGTCTTTGGTAAGGCCCACCCTCAGGCACCTAAACACCATGCCACCTGCTCACCATCCTTAGACCTTGAGCTTCACCAGTCATGCCCAGGATCAAGCTTGTGGCTCTTCCAACATTACCCTGAACGGACTTCATCTTCCCCAAGAGTGGAACGGCGACTTCGCATCTGGTTCCGGTTCCTACCAAGGCGTTACCGACCTCACACAGAATGAATGGTTTCTGCAGCACGACTTGGATCTCGAATGGCAGACAGCCTGTCTTCGTGATAACTTGGAAACGGAAGAAGCAGCCCAAGTAGTAACGGTCAACATCAAGGCCATCGACGGCAAGCAAGTCACCAAACCTGCCGGATTTACGATCTCGTTCAAACCGCAGACATCACCGCCTTCCCTACTCAGACTTGAGTCTGTCCCCAACCCTTCGGCGAGCAACAAAGACGTAGCTGAATCCTGGCGCAAACCTCCTCGGTTGTTGCGTCTGGCCTTTCACAACGTCACCGAAACTTCAAAAGCGAAGGGCAGAATCCCGTCTCTTAAGGACGACATCCGCGAATTGAAAGTTCTCCAGAGGGAACTCAAAGAGCTCGAATCCCTTATCGCCGAGAAGAAGAAGCAGATTCATTCAGTTCTAAGGCAAGAAGCGAAGGAACTATCGCATCAATTGGGTGAATGTGACGGCGTCTCCTGCATCGTACAGACTATCGCCCATGAAGCAAAGTGTGCTTGGGAAATCGTATCCTTCCATTTCAAACCCGATCAACGGTTGAAAGAGATGAACAGCCCCGAGCAAGTGTTCGCGCAGGCACACGGTCATGCTGCACAGGTGGCACAGATCTCTGGAA